TAGAAGATCAATTTTAAAGCAATAACAATAACAAAGCATTGGGTAATCATTAACATTTATTTATTTTTTGAGAGTCAGAGACAGAGCATGAGCAGGGGAGGTGCAGAGAGAGGGAGACACAGAATCAGAAGAAGGCTCTAGGCTCTGAGCTGTCAGCACAGAGCCCGATGAGGGGCTTGAACCCATGAACCGTGAAATCATGACCCGAGCCGAAGTCAGTCACCCAACCAACTGAGCCACCCAGGCGTCCCGGGTAATCATTATATATATATGGGTAGGAGGAATGAATAGCAGCTATACCATAGTGGTGGGAGTGGAGGTTAAGAAAACTCTGTTATAAGGTGTCTACACTACACAGAAAGTGGTATAGTGCTATTTGAAGATGAACTTCAAGTTAGTTTCAAATGTATATTGCAAGTTCCAGGGCAACAATTTTAAAAATTAAGAAATATAATTGATGTTAAGAGTAGAGATAAAAGGAAGTCACATAAAATGCTTAATTCAAACCAGAGAAGGCAAAATAAAAAGGGGGAGGGGAGAATGCAACATATAGAAAACAGTTAAACACGATAGATATAAATCCAATTATATTAATAATTACTTTAAATATGGTAAGTATGTCAATTAAAAGATAAAGACTATCCGAGCATATTAAAAAAAAACGAGCCCCAAGTATATATGCTGTCTACAGGAAACCTACTTTGAACATAAAGATGTACATAGATTAAAAGTAAAGGGGTGAAGAAACACACACCATGCTAATGCTAATCAAAAGAAAGCTGGCACAGGGTGCCTGGTGGCTCAGTTAAGCGTCCAACTCTTGGTTTCAGCTCAGGTCATGATCTCATGGGTTCATGAGATCAGTCAGTTAAGCATCTGACTCTTGGTTTCAGCTGAGGTCATGATCTCACGGCTTCGTGAGATCAAGCCCCACGTTGGGCTCTGTGCTGACAGCACAGAGCCTGCTTGGCATTATCTCTTTCCCTCTCTCTCTGCCCCTACCCAGCTCACTCTCTCTCTCTCTCTCTCAAAAATAAATAAACACTACAAAAAAAAAATTTAAAAGAAAGAAAGAAACCTGATGCGGCTATACTCATTTCAAACAAAGCAGATTTCAGAACCAGGAAATCCATCAGGGATATAGGTGTTCCATAATGACAAAAGGGTGCATTCTCCAAGAAGATACAATAATCTTAAATGTGTACACAATCTAACAAGAGATCATCGAAATACCTGAGGCAAAAACTGATGAAGCTGGTAGGAGAAACAGTACATGCGCTTAGCTCATTGCATGAGATTTTTCTTGGTTTTCTTCTAGTCAATCAGATACTAGAAGCACATGGACTGTTTTTGAGGAAGGATATACTGAGGAACGGTATATTTGGGAGAGGAACGGCACACGCTACATGATCCCAGCGTGACTATGTTGCCACTGGGGAAAAGAGGCGCTGGGTTTCATTAAGTCTATGCGCAGTAGGGTACCCTGCTCTGGAAGGTACTGGGCTCAGTGTGAGTGGAAGAATCTCGAGGTAGTGCTATCTGCCATCCTCCTGTGGCCAAGTCTCTGCAGCCAGGAAAGAGCTGTAGGGTGAGGACGCCCAATGGGAGTTGAGCTCAGTTTCTCTCCTGGGATCCTTGCCCAGATCATCAGTTCCTGAAAGTACAGATGGTGCTTTATATTTTCCAAAAACATGAAGCACCAGCCTTGAAAGTGGGCTTCGATAAATGTGCCAAAACATACTTGTTGATTATGAAGACCGACACTTGTTTAAATTTGAGGAATTTACAGTTGGCACAACATGTTACTGCATGAGCTCGAATGGAAAAATAAAACCATCCTACTTTAAAACTATAGTCAGTTCTGTATGTTAAAGAAGACACATGGAAGATTGCTTTTGTTGTTATTGTTTTGTTTTGTTTTTTGCTCTAGAAGTTCCCAAGCTCTAGCCTAGTCCACAAGCTGAAGGGTAAGAAAAAGGGAAGGGAATAATACATGTAATAAAAAAAAAAATGATCTGTACAATAAATGTAAAGGGCCATATTTTTATGAGCACAGGGTAGTTCTACAAGTTGCATGGTCTTTGGGAAGCTGTCTCTTATCACAACATCAATAGGACCTATCTAGATGGCAGCCATGGATATAAACAAGCTATTTTATAAAGACTAAGCCCTCACTTCTGAAACTCGAATGTTCACATGAATTACCTGGAGACCTTGTTAAAAGGCAGACTTTAATACGGTAGTTCTTAGGGTTGCCTAAAACTCTGCATTTCTAGCAGGCTTTCAGGTGATGCCACAGCCCTATTCCACAGGTGACACTCAGCCATAAGCAGACTTGTGAGAAAATCCTGGGAGATCGGTCTCCACTATGAAGTCAGGCTAATGTTCCTGAGGTTCACTCAACAGCTCAACAGAACTCAGGTCTAGGCCATTCTCTACATAAGTGAACAGATACTGAGGTCTTCCTCAGTATTCTTGAATATTCAAGATGAAAGTGACAATGGAATTCGAGTGTAATCCCAGTTTTGCATTTAGGGATACTGAGCTCCTGGGGGTTAAATCATTTGTCCATTATCACATAACTATTTAAGTGTATTGTCAGGATTCTACTACTGGTTTTCTGATCAGTGTCCTTTCCTTGCCTCATGTGAGTCAGGAAATCAGCCTACAACGGAAGATGAGGGGACAGGACCCAGTGTAAACCGTGCAGGCATCAGCAACGTTGAGAGGGAAAATAAGGGATAATAAAACCAATGCAGGTTCAAAAAATAAGTCCACAAAAGATCAGACCCAAGAAAGTGCAGTGTAGAGACAGCCATTTTAATATTGATACAATAGTATCGTAGGGGACACCACGTCAAATAGGGTCATTCCCACTAGGACAGAGTATGTGGGACATGAAGGTCAGAAACAAGCATGGGGAGCCCCTTTCTTCCTCATGGGCTGAATGATCCAGTCTCAGGTCTCAGGCAAAGCTACCTTTAAACCCACTTTTTCCTTTATTATAGATTATAGAGCCTGACTTTGAGGCCTCGTGGGTTCAGGCCAAGACGAAAGATTCCATTATTAGCTTCTTACTAAGATGTTTAACAATCAAGGGGTGCCTGGGTGGCTCAGTCAGTGAAGCATCCGACTCTTCATTTTGGCTCAGGATCTCATGGCTCATGAGATCAAGTCCTGTGTCAGGCCCCACAGTGACAGCATAGAGCCTGCGTGGATCTCTCTCTCCCTCTCTCTCTGGCCTTCCCTAGCTCACCCTCTCACCCTCTCTCTTTCAAAATAAAGAAACTTAAAAAAAAAAAGTTTAACAATTAAGGAGAAACATCTGTCCCCAAAAGGTATGATTCAATCCCGTCTCTTAGGCAGTGGGAGGGAAGGCATGTGATACTGGTTAGCAAAATCCAAGTGGAATCAACCAGGAAGGCCACCAGCAGTGCCGCCTCTCACAGAGGACCCGTGGAGTCTCTCTCTTTGTGATCTTGAGGTTATACTGATCCCGATGCTGGCTTTCAACCTCCCTTCCAACTCTTTGTCCTATCTTAGAATAGAAAATTGGATAGCTCAGCAGTCTGATCATGATGAGTATATAAGATCGAAGGGAATAGGGGTGCCTGGGTGGCTCAGTCGTTAAGCATCTGACTTCGACTCAGATCATGATCTCACAGTTCCTACACTGGGAGTCCCACGCTGGGTGAGCTTGAGCCCCAGTTCAGGTGAGCCCCACTTCTCTCTCTCCCCTGCCCTTTGCCCCTTGTGGGATTCTCTCTCTCTGCCCCTTGCTCAGTTGCACCATGTCTCTCTCTCTTAAAAAAAAAAAAAAAAAAAAAAAAGACCAAAGGGAACAGGCGAATATAATGCACTGAATTCTCTTATTTAGGGATCTCCTACATCAGTGCTGTACCTGTTAGTCTGGAGTCTGTGTCACCTGTTTTTCATGTGGTCATTCTGGAAAACCCGGAAGGAATGTAAATATCTAAATATCTAAATGCTTTAAATTCCTCCAAGAAAGGGAACAGGTTCTGGGACCATTGGCACTTGGCTGAGGGTACATGTTGGGGGGGGGGGGCAGCGGATCGCCCTACCCAAAGGGAACCGGGAACAGAGAGGCAAGGTGGGATGGGCATCCTTCACTTGTATGTCAAGAAACTGACAGGCCAGGTGTAAAAGGAAAAATACACCACAGCAGGAGAGCGTAAAGGAAAGGGCGGCAGCAGGGGAGAGGCACTTCTTTCTCTGGACAGTCTCCTCAGATCCCAAAGACAGCAGGGTCCACGGAGGACTTGGTAAAAGCAATAGCAGCTTTCACAAGCTTTTTCTTGATGGAGCCTGTTAGGAGGAGAAAACAAGAATTAGGCTGAGGAATCACAATGACAAGTGAACGCTCTTCCCCGAGTCTCCCCTAAACTGGCCTGCTCGTCTCCCCGGAGTCCGGCTCCTGTCTTTCTTTAACACCCCTGACTTTTCTCTTCCTACTGCCCAGATTCCCTTTCATCTTCTCAGACATCGGAAATACTGAGCAGCAGTGAGCTAATAAACCCCCGAGGGGTGAGAGCTCCAGCCCAGCCTTACACTCGGTACAGTACCGAGATGGTGAGGAGACTAAACACCACGTCATCTCCTTCTCAGAATTCACAGTCCCCATCCTTGTCCCTTTCCCTCTTTACTTACCTCTCCTTCCCCCATTTAAGACTGCACTCTCAGCCCCCTCCCCCAAGGAAAGAACTATGGGGGAGTCCAGAAAAGGTCTGAACCGGGAGAGGACCACGGGGCCTCCCTCTCAGTCATCTTCTAGCAGGCTTGGAGGCTCAGCACCTGGCAAGATGGCCAGCTTCCGACGGAGGGAAGGAGATGGGGTCTTAGGACTGAACTCCTACCTGCATTACTGTTAATCCAGGTTCTGGCCTTCTTTTCCAGAAGTTCCCACTCACACTTCTGGTGCTTAGCCTTGGCATGTAGCCAAACCACCGCCAGGACTGTGGCCCAGCTTGAGGAATCTGCATCCTGTACAACACACAGAGACTTCCCTGAAACCTCCAAGTTGGAGCAGGAGGCCCCTCGAGGGGTCACAAACACCTCCTCACTCACTTTGCTCCAAACTGCTGTTAAATGTGACGACCTGCTCTCTCGGAACCTCATCTGCTACTTGCAAGGCGTAAAGCCAGGCCCTGAGCCTCAGGGCAAAAATTGTGAGTCTTAGAGTAGAAAAGTCTTAAGTTTTCAATCCAGCAGAACCACCAGGGCGGTGCTGAAAACTCCTACAAAATCCCCAACAAGCATTCCCAAGCTATGATAAGAGAATACGTGCATAATTTCTTTATATTTTTATAAAGTATTGAATGTTTTATTTGAATATTTGCCAAACCAAAAGAAAAAAAAGAGGAATTACCCATAATGACATTTTTCAATTAAAAAAAACAATTTTAAGTTTATTTATTTATTTTGAGAGACAGAGATAGCATGAGTGGGGGAGGGGCAGAGAGCTAGAGAGAGAGACAAAAAGAGAGAGAGGGAATCCCAAGCAGTCTCTGGGCTGCCAGTGCAAAGCCCCATGTGGGGCTTGAACTCACAAAACCATGAGATTATGACCTGAGCCAACACCAAGAGTTAGCCACTTAACCATTGAGCCACCCAAGCACCCCACCAATAAGGACATTTTTGAGACAGAAAACTGATTCATAAGAAAGTGAAATGATTTGCCCAAAGTTGGCCTTCTAGCAAATGACACAGCTGGGACTGGAGTCACACTGTTCACTCAAGAGAGAGTCTCAGGCAGAGAACAGAAAATGAGTTTTAGGGATGCCTGGGTGGCTCAGTCGGTTAAGGGTCCGACTTTGGCTCAGATCATGACCTCACCAACAGTGAGGTCAAGCCCCACGTCGGGCTCTGTGCTGACAGCTCAGATCCTAGAGCCTGCTTCGGATTCTTCCTCCCTCACTCTCTCTTCCCCTCCCCTGCTCACACTCTGTGTCTCTCTCAAAAATAAATAAACATTAAAAAAATCTTTTTTTAAAAAAGAAAGAAAATGAGTTTTCACCCAGGGTCCCACCTTCAGTTTATAGACACAACAGATCAAGAAAAACTGTTCTTTTAGATCATGACCTTTAAAATTTGGAAACAGCTAATCAGGTCCTCTGTGAGGAGTCCTGTCAATCAAAATTCTCAATTCCTTTCATTCTTCTTTAAAAGAACTACTAATGTCAAAGCAGTAAGAATCCCCATGCTTGATCTAGTCTAGAAACAAACATCACAGTGATGTTTAAAATATACCTCCTTAGGGGCACTTGGGTGCCTAAGTCACGGTTCATAGGTTCGAGGCCTGCATCCGGCTTTGTGCACTGACAGTGTAAAGCCTACTTGGGATTCTCTCTGTCTCCCTCTCTCTCTGCCCCTTCGCTGCTCTCTCTCTCTCTCTCCCTCTCTCAAAATAAATCAACTTAAAAAATAAAAATAAAAACTAAAATACACTTCCTTAAGTGGTCACATATGGAGGTCAGTGAACTTATGAAATTCTATGACCACAGCCCCAAATACATAACACACACAGCTCTTCTGAAAACCCTGTGCCTTCCACTGATCACATATCACATGCGTTGGTTCACATGAAGTTTGCAGTCACCCCAAGTCTGCATGTTGTAACAGGTCTTAAGTCATTTTGCTTCTAGTCTCTGCTTACAAAATTGAAGATTTAGAAGCAAAAAGAGTATTTTGATTCCTAGTAAGTTTTTTCTTCCCCCCCAGGAAAAGTTACAAGTCATTCATTGTTCAAGGTCTTTTGGGATCTCAATTTTGTTACTGTTTCTATCTCCCAGTTTTGGCAAATTTACAAATTTAGCACTGGATCTAAATTTTCACTGAAAATATAAACCTCCAGAGAATGCAGAGCCTGGTGGCTCCAAAAACCTGTGTAAGTTTGAAAAAATTCATTATTCAGTGCAATGAATTTTCAGTGAGTTTGTTCTCAGTCCATATACTCATCGTTTAAAAAATTCAAATTCCTTAATGAAATTCAGATACTCCAGGGTTCCTGACTCCCTGGATTGGTTGGCCCAGTTACCATGTCAAAGAAGGAAATGTTAGTCTGACATGTCATTGGTTTCCCAATAAAACCGAGTTAGAACATCATGATTCTTATATCTTTTTCCAGGGGTTTATAAATTATCCTTTTAATTATTTGTTCTAGAACAGTTTTTTTAGTAGAAATATAATGTCACACACACATATAATCCTAAATGTCCTAGTAGCCATATGTAAAAATATAAAAATAAACAGGTACAATTATTTTACTAATATGTTTTATTTAACCTAACACATTAAAAATATCATTTTAACATCAATATATAAATAATTATTAATGAATATTTGCATTTGTTACAGTAAGTCTTAAAATCAGCATGTGTTTCACAATTACATCCCATTTTAATTCAATTAAGAATTTGGTTCCTCATTTGCATTAGCCATATTTCAATTGCTCAATAGCCATTGGACAAGTGGATACTGTATTAGTTGACGCAGGTATAGGATTTTTGAGGGTTTTTTTTTAATCATTTAAAAAATTTCTTTTAAGCTTATTTTGAGAGAGAGAGAGCACGAGTGGGGTATGGACAGAAAGAGAGGGGAGAGAGAATCCCAAGCAGGCTCTACGCTGTTAGTGCAGAGACCCGTGTGGGGCTTGAACTCACGAACCATGAGATCATGACCTGAGCCAAAGTCAAGAGCCCAGTGCTCAACCAACTGAGCCACCCAGGTGTCCCTGAGGTTTATTTAACCACCTTTCACATTTTGAAAATTCAGAACAACACCTGTCCTTCAGGCTTTTGGTCTTTGTCCATATTTAACAATTTCTCAGAAGATTTGGTAAGTTGCCTTGAAATTCTGGAATGAAATTTGTCCTCATTGGCAGACTTAGACACATTTGAAATAACTAGGTGATTCCCTATTAATACCTGTCCTGACTTCAGTGAAATTTTGCTGATTTGTGGGCCACATGCACAAATTAGTAGCAATGTAGATTCTGAAGACAGTTCTAGAACTGAATCCAGCTCTGCCACTGACTGGCTGGGAAAACTCAGACACAGTATTATGGTTCTATATAAAATAGCAATAATGTGAATAGGATTTACTTTAATTATTATGATGAATAAGTCAGTGGATGTTAAGTGCTTAGCATGGTGCCTGGCAGAGAGTAATTGCTCAAAAAATGTTAGTTATTCTAACTAAGATGACTGACGGGGAATATGAAGTGAAAGAAGATGTTTGCTTTCCCTTTGTCATCCATCAACTCCCACCAATTAGGCTTTTAGTTCCTTGTTCGTTCTTCTCTAACATACCAAGAAAAATCTTCAACATCTATTTATTAGAAATCAATTTAGTCTATGGCCTCCTATAGTCTCCTTTCTCAGATGAGTCATGAATCACCCCAATCTCATGACCGACCCCAACCCCTCAAAAACATACATACTCCTTTTTCTTCTCTGAATCTTACCTTGACAGGGAGTGCAGACCATAGGTCTTTCAAACTTATACCTAGGATCCTGGCCAGATCTTCATCTAGATCCCAGGAACCATCTGCATTTTGGAGGGATATCAGCTGCACCAGATAAGTCTCTCCAAAGACTTTGGGGAACAAAAAAAGAGCGTGAGAAATTATAGAGCTATGATCCCTTAGTATACCTGAGAAAGACAGGTCTTAGCATACCTGAGAAAGACAGGCTATAGTGACAGCACAGAGCTAAGCAGATCCTACCAAGATACCTGTCATAGCCCTTCCCCTGGGAGGCAGGTATTTTCTCTGTGACAGTGTAGGCCACCTGAATGATATACTAAATCTAGGGGAGCTACACTTAAAAATTTAGCAACAAGGAAAAGATACGAGGAACTAAAGAACCCACATGATAATGCTGCTTAAAGTTTTATCCAGTCCTATTTAAATGGGCCTTAAAACTTGATGTATATTAAAAAAAATTCTACACCAATGTAGCTTGAATTTTAATTATAAACATTTTCAAAAGAAAGCAGATATAAAGGAAGCACCTAGCAACGTACCTCAAAGTGTAGTCTAGTGTCTTATCTGGGTGCTACAACAGTTGCTTAAAGACCACACAGAAAGTATCTCACATCTGGTTATCTATCATATGTGATGGTGTACTTAGAGCAACTTGGAAATTAGCAGGTGAAAAAAACTATAACTAGAAAACAATTCTACTCTAATGGGGGAAAAAATCTATAGCTCTAAATTTCAACAGTCTTAGTTTGAACCTCAGCTTTGCTAACACTCAAAATGTACAAAAAGTATGGAAGGCCCTTCCTTGGTTCCATACAAAAAGTAGTTGCTAAATAGCTCACAAAAACCAGAAGCTCACCACTGCTAGGTAACTTTTCTTTCATCTTTGCTAAGAGGATGGTCAGAGCTGGAATGTTCTAAGTGAGGAAGGCCTAGGAAACCAACACAAAGTAAAGCTACTCTGTGGCTACCATGAAGAATTTTCTCAAAGTGGCCAAGATGGCAGAACAGCATGGAAGTTCTTTTGCATCTCTCATCCCTGAAATGGAGCCAGATCAACACTAAACCATCTTGCACACCTAGAAAACTGACTTGAGGACTAATACAATAATCTGCACAACCTGAACCACAGAACTTGGCAGGTACGCAGTGCAGAGAGGTGAACTGGTGGAGAGAGAAGCTGTGGAGGGCAGAGAGCTGTTTTTGCTTGCAGAGAGAAGACAGAGATGGGGGGTGGGGAGAGTATGGGAAAGCACCCCCCGTCAAAAGTGGCTGGAGAGAAAAGGAAGAGTACGCAAGGGACTGAACAAAAAAGGGAGAAAGGAGGAAGGAGAAAGGAGAGTGTTTAAATTCCATTAAGACACTATAAATAGGGAAGCATAGAGTCTGAAACTCTACAGCTCGATACCTGGCGGTGCTCTGGTGGGAAGGTCAAATCCCCAGGAGCCAGCATCAAGGTCCTTCAATTCCTGGGGCATTGTGTCTTGGACAGGCAGTTCCATTGCTTGGAAGATATTTGGTGGAGGCTGTGAACCATGCCTACAGCCAAAGATCCTAGCAGACCCTGGAGAACAACCACATTCACTGGTGTTGGAACAAGGATGTTAAGAGGGAAGCCTGGTGCCAGATGTGTGTTGTGATTTGCCATAATCCCTGAAATGCTGCTGCTACACAACTGCATGAAATTTTTCATGGGTGGACTGGTGCCTAGTCACAGTCTCTGAGCATCAGCAGTGGCAGAGTCTCATGAACATTCCTTGAGGAGGGCTGGCACCAGGCCATTGCTCAGCCAGACCCTCCTCCAGAAGGCCAGAATGGGTCAAAGCCACAGTCCCTCAGAAGTGAGGGGCTGGGAAACACATCTGAAATAAAACTCAGGAGGGAGGTGCCACCTGGCAGCCTGACAGCTTCGTCACAGACAGTGTAAAAGCGAGAAGTGAACAGAAGCCGGAGACAAAGGAGGGGTGCTTGATTGCTAGTCGGGGAGAGCACAGAGCTCTAATACTAGAGACTAGGTAGCTGGGCAACGCCATTTTCATCCCTCCCGCACATGGGCATAAACGCCTCTATGTGCCGCAACAATCCACCCCTGTGAGGTAAGCAGTGCCATCTACTGGAGAATGGAGCTGTTATACTAAGCCCCGCCCAACTGGGCCAACAGAGCTCTTGAGGAACACCAAGAGTCTCTCCATGTGCTTAGTCTATAGACTATAAAGTGATTCACAGTTTGACTTCTAGGGGAGACTGATGTAATTTCAATCGTATTTCAGTCTGTTTGCTGGTCAATCTATTCAATTTTTTTTCTTTTTCTTTTCTTTTCTTGAATACAGAAAGAGAAAAAAATTATTTTTATTTTCCACTATTAAAAATATATCTTTAATTTTTTTCTAAATTTTTAACTTTTTTGTAAATTCTTAAAATTACTTCCATCATCTCGTTTTATTCTATTTTATTGTATTCATTTTCTCAAATTTTCAAACATTTTCCTTTTTTCTTTTTTTTTCTTATATTTCCCTTTTTTCTCTAATTTATCAAGCTCCTTTCAACAACCAGACCAAAACACACCTAATTTCTAGCATCCTTTATTTGATTTCTTTGTGTTGTTTTTAATTGTACTTTTTTTTTAGTTTATTAATTCCTTTTCTTCCTTCAAAATGACAAAACGAAGTAATTCACCTCAAAAGGAACAACAGGAAGAAATGACAGCCATGGGTTTAATCAACACAGATACAAGCAAGATGTCTGGACAAGAATTTAGAATCACAATAATAATATTAGCTGGGGTTGAAAATAGATTAGAATCCCTTTCTGTGGAGATAAAAGAAGTAAAAGCTAGTCAGGATGAAATAAAAAATGCTATAACTGAGCTGCAATCTCGAATGGTTGCCACGGCAGCAAGAATGGAAGAGTAGATAAAGCAGAACAGTGAATCGGCGATATAGAGGACAAACTTATGGAGAACAATGAAGCAGAAAGACGGAGACTAAGGCAAAAGAGCACGATTTAAGAATTAGAGAACTCAGTGACTCATTAAAAAGGAGTAACATCAGAATCATAGGAGTCCCAGAAGATAAAGAGAGAGAAAAAGGGGTAGAAGGTTTATGTGAGCAAATCACAGCAGAAAACTTTCCTAACCTTGGGAAGGACACAGACATCAAAATCCAGGAAGCACAGAGGACTCCCGTTAGATTCAACAAAAACCAACCCTCAACAAGACATATCATTGTCAAATTCACAAAATACTTAGGCAAGGAAAGAATCATGAAAGCAGCAAGGGGGAAAAAAAGTCTTTAACGTACAAGGGAAGACAGAGCAGGTTCGCAAAAGACCTATCCACAAGAAACTTGGCAGGTCAGAAAGGAGTGGCAGGATATATTCAATGTGCTGAATCAGAAAAATATGCAGCAAAGAATTATTTATCCAGAAAGGCTGCCATTCAAAAACAGAAGCAGAAATAAAGAGTTTCCAAGACAAACAAAAATTAGTTTGTGACCACTAAACCAGCCCTGCAAGAAATTTTAAGGGGGACTCTCTGAGGGGAGAAAAGATGAAAACAAATAAATAAACAACCAAAAAAAAAAAAAAAAAAGACCAAAAGTGACAAAGACTAGAAAGGACCAGAGAACACCACCAGAAATTCCAACTTTACAGACAACATAAGGCAATAAATTCATACCTTTCAGTACTCACTCTAAATATCAGTGGACTAAATGCTGCAATCAAAAGACATAGGGTAACAGAATGGATAAGAAAACAATATCCATCTATATGCTGTTTACAAGAGACCCATTTTAGACCTAAAGACACCTTCTGATGGAAAGTAAGGGGATGGAGAACCATCTATCATGCTGATGGTCACCAAAAGAAAGCCAGAGGAGCCATACTTATATCAGACAATCTAGATTTTAAAATAAAGACTGTAACAAGAGATGAAGAAGGGCATTATATCATAAGTAAGGGGTCCATCCACCAAGAATATCTAACAATTGTAAACATGTATACTCCAAACATGAGGCACCCAAATATATAAATCAATTAACACAAACATAAAGAAACTCTTTGATAATAATACCATAGTAGGGGACTTCAACACCCCACTTACAACAATGGACAGATCATCTAAACAGAAGATCAACAAGGAAACAATGGCTTTGAATGACACTGGACCAGATGGACTTAACAGATATATTAAGAACATTTTATCCTAAAGCAGCGGAATACACATTCTTCTCCAGTGCACTTGGAACATTCTCCATAATAGATCACATATGGGGACACAAATCAGCCCTCAACAATTTCAACAAAGATCAAGATCACACTGTGCATATTTTCAGACCACAATGCTATGAAACTCAAAATCAACCACAAGAAAAAAAATATGGAAAGATAACAGATACTTGGAGACTAAAGACCATCCAACTAAAAAATGAATGGGCTAACCAAGAAGTTAAAGAATAAATTAAAAAGTACATGGAAGCCAATGAAAATGATAACGCCACAGCCCCAAACCTCTGGGACACAGCAAAGGCAGTCATAGGAGGGAAGTATATAGCAATACTTCAGGCCTTCCTGAAGTAGGAAGATGGTCTCAGATACATAACCTAACCTTACACCTTAAAGAGCTGGAAAAAGAACACCAAATAAAACCCAAAACCAGCAGAAGACAGGAAATAATGAAGATTGTAGCAGAAACCAATGCTATCAAAACCAAAAAAACAAAAAACAAACAAAAAAAGAAAACAGTAGAACAGATCAATGAAACCATAAGCTGGTTTTTTGAAAGGACTAACAAAATTGATAAACCCCTAGCCAGTTTGATCAAAAATAAAAAGGAAAGGACCCAAATAAATAAAATCAAGAATGAAAGAGGAGAGATTACAACCAACACAGCAGAAATACAAAAATAATAAGAGAATATTATGAGCAATTATAAGCCAATAAGATGGGCAATATGAAGAAATGAACAAATTCCTGGAGACATATAAACTACCAAAACTGAAACAGGAAGAAATAGAAAATTTGAACAGACCCATAACCAGTAAAGAAATCAAATCAGTAATCAAAAATCTCCCAAAAACAAGAGTCCAGGGCCGGATGGCTTTCCAGGGGAATTCTACCAAACATTTAAGGAAGAGTTAACACCTATTCTCTTGAAGCTGTTCCAAAAAATAGAAATGGAAGGAAAACTTCCACTCTTTCTATGAAGCCATCATTACCTTGATTCTAAAACCAAAGACCTCCCTAAAAAGGAGAACTACAGACTAATTTCCCTGATGAACATGGATGCAAAAATCCTCAACAAGATACTAGCCAACTGGATCCAACAATACATTAAAAGAATTATTCACCACGACCAAGCTGGATTTATACCTGTGATGAAGGGCTGGTTCAATATTCACAAAACAATCAATGTGATACATCACATCAATCAAAGAAAGGACAGAAACCACATGATCCTCTCAATAGATGCAGAGAAAGCATTTGACAAAATACAGCATCCTTTCTTGATAAAAACCCTCAAAAAAGTAGGGATAGAAGGATCATATCTCGAGATCATTAAAACCACATATGAAAGAACAACTGCTAATATCATTGTCAATGGGGAAAAACTTAGAGCTTTCCCCCTAAGGTCAGGAACAAGACAGGGATGTCCACTCTCACCACTGTTATTCAACATACTATTAGAAGTCTTAGCCCCAGCAATCACACAATACAAAGGATTAAAGGCATCCAAATCAGCCAAGAGGAAGTCAAACCTTCACTCTTCGCAGATGACATGATACTCTATATGGAAAACCCAAAAGATTCCACCAAAAAACTGCTAGAACCGATCCATGAATTCAGCAAAGTCACTGGGTATAAAATCAATGCACAGAAATCGGTTGCATTTCTATACACCAATGAAGCAACAGAAAATCAAGGAACCAATCCCATGTACAATTGCATCAAAAACCATACAATACCTCGGAATAAATCTAACCAAAGAGGTGAAAAATCTATACACCAAAAACTACAGAAAGCTTATGAAAGAAAGTGAAGACACAAAATAATGGAAACAATATTCCATGCTCCTGAATAGGAAGAACAAATATTGTTAAAATGTCAATACTATCCAAAGCAATCTACATATTCAATGCATTACCTATCAGAATAACACCAGCATTCTTCACAGAGCGAGAACAAACAATCCTAAAATTTGAATGGAACCAGAAAAGACCCCAAATAGCCAAAGCAATCTTGAAAAAGAAAACCAAAGCTGGAGGCATCATAATCCGAGACTTCAAGCTATATTACAAAGCTGTAACCATAAAGACAGTATGGTACCAGCCCCAAAACAGAAACTCAGATCAATGGAACAGAATAGAGAATCCAGAAAGAGAACCACAAATGTATGGCCAACTAATCTTTGACAAAGCAGGAAAGGATATCCAATGGAATAAAGACAGTCTCTTCACATCCGGAT